TCAAACCACAAACCGTGAGATCATGACCTGAGCTGAAGTCAGACTGAACCGAATGATCAACTCAGGCACCCCAAACTTTAGTACATTTTAAGCATAAAGAACTTCAGGGATTAATCACACCCTTTAGTTCTGTGCAGAGAACTGATTAGTTTGGCAGTATTTTTGAAATATGAGACAGTCTCAAATGAACCAAATCTCTGCTGGAGAGTTTAGTGTCTATGATGTTAACCCAACAGCAAACAATAATGTCATTCGAGAATGATTACCTTTCTCTGTCACCCTGTCCAAGCTATTCCTAGGTAAGTTTAATAGTACACATCTTACATGCCATTTCTGTCTTCACTTGGATCAGGAGGCTTTATTTAGTTCAAGGATAACTATACCACATTTCTTCTTAACATACTCCATACCTTTGCGACAGTCTCAAAGCCTTCTTGCATGCAGTGAGGAATATAAACATGTCATTCTAAAACCAACTGGCTTTAAATATGAATACATGGTGGGGAGTGCGAGAAAGGTATAGATGGAACTAGAATGGCAGAATGTTGCTAACTGTTGACACCAGGTAATGAGTATAAAGCATTCATTACATTATCGTTTCCTTTGTATTTGAAATCTTCCATAATAAAGTTTAAAAATGCTTTTAAGGGGTGCCTGGATGGCTCAGCTGGTTGGTTAAGTGTCCAACTCTTGGTTTCGGCTTAGATCATGTTCTCACCGTCATGGGACTGAGCCCCGTGTGGAGTGCTGCACTGAACATGGAGCCTGCTTGGGATTCTCTCCCTTCCTTCCCCTCTGCCCCTCCCCATGGTCTCCCTCAAGAAAAAAAAAATTTATTTAAAAATAAAATTATAAAAAATACATTAAAAATATACATGATTTTAATAATAGGACCACGTTGGGGGAGATGTACAAAAGAAACACTTTTTCCATTAAAGTTTTTTGTTGGGGCACCTGGGTGCCTCAGTCAGTTAAATGTCCAACTTTGGCTCAGGTCATGATTTCTCGGTTGAGTTCGAGCCCTGTGTCGGGCTCTGTGCTGACAGCTCAGAGCCTGGAGCCTGCTTCAGATTCTGTGTCTCCCTCTCTCTCTGCCCCTTCCCCACTCACGTTCTCTCTCTTAAAAATAAATAAACATTAAAAAATTGAAAAAACAAAAAAAAAAAGCTTGTTTTTTTGTTTGGTTTTGTTTTTGTTTTTTTGAGAGAGAGCGAGTGCATGCTGGAGAGCAGCAGAGACAGAGGAAGAAAGAATTCCAAGTGTCAGTACAGAGCCGGATAAAGGGCTCAATCTCAGGAACCATGAGATCATGACCTAAGCCAAAACCAAGGGTCAGATATTTAACGGACTGAGCCACCCAGGCGCCCCAAGAAACACCGTATTTTAACTATGAAAACATACTCACATCGTGACCACATTCAGGGGCTGGCATGGTGCCTTGGCACATCACAGGAGAAAAGGCCAACAATTAAAAATTTATTTTTCTATATATTTAGACATATAGAGTGTTTCCTTAACAAAAACTAAACATTTATAAGCATGGGAGGTGGGGGGTGGGAATCACATTAGGCTTAAGGAAAGCCAAACACAGCACCATCACAAAACTCCAGGAGATGAACAGATTCATCAGAGATGCATCTATACTTTTTCCAAGAATTTCTCTTAATGGAAGACAAAGACCTCAGTCTTTAGGCAGTCATACTGGAACCCTCCCCCAACACTTCTGCAGTGCCGCACATCCGTCTGCACTCTACCAGTGGTGCAGTGATGAACAGGGTAGACTCAGGGGTCAAGTATTCTGGGTTTAGTGGCTCTTCACTTCTGTGTGCCCTTGGACCAGTTACTGCCCTCTGTGCCTCAGTTTCGTCCTTTGTAAGATAAGGTTAAGAAGAGCATTCACCATAAGAAACTCTTAAAAACTGAGAACAAACTGAGGGTTGATGGGGGGTGGGAGGGAGGGGAGGGTGGGTGATGGGTATTGAGGAGGGCACCTTTTGGGATGAGCACTGGGTGTTGTATGGAAACCAATTTGACAATAAACTTCATATATTGAAAAAAAAAAAAGAATAGCATTCACCTTGGTACTTGGCTCTAGGTACTATGTAAATAGATTTTTTTTAATGTTCATTTATTTTTGAGAGAGAGAATGAGAGGGGTAGAGAGAAAGAATTCTAAGCAGGCTCTGTCCTGTCAGTGCAGAGCCCAACACAAGGCTCCAACTGTGAGATCATGACCTGAGCCATAATCAAGGGCCGGATGCTTTAACAGACTGAGCCACCCAGGTGCCCCTAGTTACTAAGTAAATGGAAAGAAATTATCTTTCTGCCTATGGGCTATGTGAAGGTGGAAACAACACCACACACAGTTCGTGGTCATGGCAGACTTACAGTGAAGGTTGACAAAGGGGTACATGTTTTTGGGAGGGTAGGTGGCTACCTGGCCTGACTTTATGACTTCAAAGAAGCATACTGTCCACCTACATGAAGAGGCATGAAAATGCTAAGTATCTTCTGAATGCTAAATCCAGCTCCAGGGGTTGGCCAGAGAGTAAAAATTTTAAGCCAGATAGAGCCTCTGTAACACAGTTGCTGGATGTTTTGTTTTGTTTTGTTTTTATAAACCATTCTTGGGGCGCCTGGGTGACTCAGTCGGTTAAGTGTCCAACTCTTGATTTTGGCTCTGGTCATTATCTCACGGTTCTTGAGTTCGAAACCCACATTGGGCTCTGTGCTCACAGTGCAGAGCCTGCTTGGGATTCTCTCTCTCCCTCACTCTCAAAAAACAATAAACTAAACACACACACACACACACACACGACATCATTCTTAGTCCATAGGCCATACAAAAACAGACCACAGGAAATCTAGCCCATTGGCCACAGTTTGCTGACCCAATTTCATCTATGCTGTTAATTCATATTTGTTAATAAACTAGTGGCTTTATGCTATGGTGACAGACACCATCTAAATTTTTTTTTAACGTTTTATTTATTTTTTTTTTATTTTTTTTTTAACATTTATTTATTTTTGAGACAGGGAGAGACAGCATGAATGGGGGAGGGTCAGAGAGAGAGGGAGACACAGAATTTGAAACAGGCTGCAGGCTCTGAGCTGTCAACGCGCACAGAGCCTGCCCCTGATCGACGAACTCCGCAGGACAGCGGATCATGACCTGAGCGAAGTCGGATTGACCTTAACACCGACTGAGCTGCCAAGCGTTTTATTGTATTTTGAGACAGAGAGAGACAGAGCATGAACAGGGAGGGTCCAGCGGAGGAACACAGAATCGAAACAGGCTCCAGGCTCTGACTGTCAGCACAGAGCCTGATCGCGGGGGGGCTTGAACTCCGCGGACGCTTGAGATCATGACCTGAGCCGAAGTCAGATGCCCAACCGACTGAGCCACCCAGGCGCCCCTGACAGACACCATCTAAATGATCATCAGTACTTAGGAGACTTGGGCTTCAATTCCTTCACCTGTCGTGTTGTTGGATGGACCAGAAGTGACATGACCCCGTTCAGTGGTCACAGAGTGAAAGCCGAGATGACTAGCACTGGGCCAGGCAGTGTTTCAAGGACCTTACATGTACTAAGTTGTTTAGTCCTTAGTCCACAGTGCTCATCACTCCACTCTACTTAAACAAGATGCCAAGTCTCAATGCTTCCTTTTCACATGTCATCCTGTTTTAAACAACACAACCACTGTTGATATTCTCATGCCTGTTTCTACAGATGGGAAAAACAGCATCATTCTCATCTGATCCCCTCTTCATTTCTCCATGCTGATATTAAGAATATAGAAACTGGGTAAGACACACATGGGTTCATCAACTCTGTTTCAGGCAGGCCACACCACATCTCTGACCATTATTTTCACCTTTAAAATTGGGGCACCTGGGTGGCTCGGTCAGCTGAGCAGGGAATTCTTTTTCTTTTTTTTTTTTTTTTTTCCAGTGTAAATTTTCACTCAGCTTTAATTACAATCGTAGATTTTAAATTCAAACAGGTGGCCAAAGGTGAAACATTCACAATAAGCTGATTACAAGTCTGGTTAACTGAAATCAAAGACTTCTCCATTAAAAATATGTACCTTCCTTTGCATTCCTGTATTTAAAATAGAAATAGATCTACAAAGTAATCTGCTTAACAGGTTAGGATTCTCTAGGGCAGTATGACATAAAAAGTAATGGCTTAAATCTTACAAATACATTAATCTGAATCTGATGCGGTTTCATAACCTGTTTACAGAAATAAAAAAATATTGTCTTGATTTGTAGGTTTTCTTCCCATGTCAGTTAAATGAAGAGCTTTTCCTTACCAATTTTTCACAAGTAAATCTGGTGGTATTAACCAGAAATGGGTTACATCTTAGGAAGGTCACAGCAAACTGGCCTCTTTCAATGGAAAGACAGCGACCCCCCATTTAAAAATTACGTTGCTAGCCAGTGACATTTGTAGGTCTGTTAGTATTCGTCAACTCCCAGGATGCTGGGTAAAATGGTCAGGTTCCAACCAAGTAATTTCCCAGCAAATATTCCCTCACGTATTTTCTAGTTTTCCTTTGTATCTCAACATCTCCAGGTAACAGCTCCGTTATGCCACTGACAGCCATTGTTCCGAAAACGACACAACGCCTCCCAAATCCAGACGTAAAAGCGAGCGGGGAATTCTTGATTTCAGCTCAGGTCATGATCGCTGTTTGTGGATGGAGCCCCAAGACTGGCTCTGTGCTGTCAGCACAGATCCTGCTTGGGATTCTCTCTCTCCCTCTTTCTTCTCCTCCCCCGTTCACGTGCGCTCTCTAAATAAACACATCTTTAATACAATGGGATCAACCTTCCAGACAGAGACTTACTGACAAGGCTACTGTGAGGATCTAGGGTTAAAAAATGGTTTCCATACCAAAAAAAAAAAAAAAAAAAAAAAAAAAAAAAAAAAAAAAAAAGAGTCAGTACGATGAGTGTAGATTTATACACACGTCACTGAAAAGCTTGCAGATCATAAGGCCACACTTGCAATTAAAGCTCAGTTTACCACGAGGCCCCAGACACCTAGGTTTGCATCCTAGTTCAGCCCTCTCACTAGTTGTGACCTTGAACAAGCCACTTCACCTCTCTAAGCCGACTCAACGCACATCCAACATATATGCATGCGTCCAACCTTACGTGGCTTCACGCACCATCCTGGGTGTTAGCTCCTCCGGGAGCTTAATTTGAGCTTCAGCTTTGGGAAGAAGGGCAGAAGCTGCGCGTAGGATTCAAATGCAAAGCGCCTGGGTGACGGCGGGGACAACTATAACGATACTTCTGCGAGGGGGTGGGGTGGAAGCCGGAGGTGGTGCATTCCCAAATTTGCAAACGCGTCGCCCGGCTGCCCTCACCCTCCCCGCTGCAGCCGAGAGACATGGGCCCTTGGGCAGGCGGGCGGCGCGGCTGAGCGAGGGGAGAAGGGTCGAATGGTGCAGGACCCTGAGCAAAGGGTCCGGTGCGCCTCCGGTGAGGCCGCAGAGAAGACCCTGAATGAAGGGCAGGCGGCTCCGCAGCCCCCTCCCCTCCCAGTGCGGCTCTGAGCCCCGGACCCCGGATCCTGCCCTCAATCTTGTAACCTTAACCGGGTACAGGTACTCACCGGGCGACGCCATCTTGGAGTCCTGGGTGTCCGCTGTACCGGGCCGCGCGAGGACTGCTGGGTAGGGAGCACGCGCCCTCGCGGGAGCGTGGAGCAAAGATTCATGGGAAGCAGGTCGCGGCTGGTGCGGGGCTGGAGCTGCAAGTGTGCCATAGGGGGAAGGGCAAAGTCCCTGGAGGGCAAAGGCTGGGTATTCCGTCGTAGAAAGCGGGGAATGGGGTAGGGAGGTAGGTGGGTGGGGGACGGGGTGGTGGTGGTGGTAGGGCTCAGCCTGGGCTTCGCATCATAGGAGGGAGGAGGCTGAAAGGGAGCCAGAAATGGGAAGTAAGGAGAAAAGAGCGTCCTGGCTTTCTTACTTTGTCGCCTTAAAATTGTTGTGGGAATTTACAGGGGCATATGAAGACCTTTCCTCCCAACTGTGTTGGATGGGAGATAAGCTGGGACTCTCACAGAATTCCTAGTTACCAGAAAAGCTGGTGTCCAGGCTTGGGCTCCATGTAGGTTTGATGCAAGCATAGCTTTATGTGTCCCAGCTCTGGGCTGGGCTCTGAAGACGGAAAAAAGCAAGACCTAGGGTTACACAACTCCAGCCCTTCTTTCTGCCACTTCTTTTCCATGCACAATGATGTCTTACCACTATCTTGGTTGTTTTTGTTTTGTTTTGTTTTGTTTTTTTCTGGAAAGGCCACGATAACCATTACTGGTTAAGAAATTCTGACTTGGGCAAGATGCTTCAATTCCCTTAATCTCTCTTCCTTCTCTAAAGTAGGCGTGTACTTGGAGTAGCACTGGCAGGGGAGCTTCCTGCCTTTGTACACATGGGATTGCACAATTTTCCTCCCTATTCAAGAAAGAGCCCAAGTATGAAAAACAGAAGGATTTGTGGAAATACATACATACATACATACATACATAGGATTTGTGGTTATGTGAAAACAATGAGAAATAAAACCTGGGGTCACCACGCACAGATTTCCCCAAGACCCATGATTTCTAACCCTTAGCCATTGATCTTCAGAAGAAAACAGGGACAAGGAAGGGGTGAACCCCAGGATCCTGCTGTCCCTGGAGCATCATGTAAACCTCCTGGACTAGAGGCTCAATGCCAGGATCTGCACCTTGGGCAAGAGGGCTGTAATTTACTATTTTCCTAGGTCCATCAAGAAAATGGACTCCTCAGGGTACCTGGGCTCAGTTAAGCATTTGACTCTCGATTTCGGCTCAGGTCACGATCTCATGGTTGGTGAGTTTGAGTTCTGCATCGGGCTCTGTGCTGTCCCGTGTGCTCTCTCAAAAATTAAAAAAAAAAAAGAGAGAAAAGAAAATGGACTCCTCCCTGGGGCAGAGATCCATTTTCTTGACATTTGTCTCCTTATAGTTTAATTCATTTGGAATACCCTTTCTTTCCTTCCTCCTCTGAGAACAAAAACAAAAACCAAACAAACAAACAAAAAACCCAGTGCTCTCTGAGGAGCCTTTGAATGTCATGTTCTTGTGTTGCCAGAAAATTTCTCCTTAAGTCCTGACAAGTTCAATAAGTTGTCACCAGCAGTGTGTGGGGGTGTGGGAGTAGGAGTCCTCATACCCATTAAGATTTGTTCTAAAAGGATTTGCATTTCTGGGGGTGACATTGGGATTTGGTTTCCAGAGAGGATAGGGCAACTGTTAGACAAAAAGTTGAGGCCATTGCAGTTTTGGTGACCTTGAGAGACGCTTCCTTTCACCACAGATATACCAGGGAGAACCACCCGGTAACAGGGAGCTCCTTACAAGTTAACAAAGGCTATTGTGATAATTGTCTCATTCAACATGGTGCTGGGGGATAGGGTTCATTACCTTCACTTATCAAACAAGATTCCTTCTGATTCTTTTCTTATTGGCAAGTACATCATGGTGGCATCAATCAGTTGTCAGCTTATTTTCCTGCTTCTTCCACTGTAAAAATTGAGCTCCTTAAATTAAAGCTCTGTTTCTGAACTCAAAGCGTGGCTGTCTCATTCAAGATGTTCAATAGGTGTTAAATTATTGTGAGATCAGAGAGGAAAATGAGCAAAACAATAAATGAAAAAACCACAGAGACAGCAATTGAAGAAGTCACTATGCTCAATACATTAGAAGTACAAGAAGCATGTCAGCATGGCATCTCAGTGCACCAAAGGTGAATAAGGCCCCAAGTGCATTTCTAGTATAAGAAAAGGGGCTTTAAAAATTACAGAGTGGGAGGGGCTCCTGGGTGGCTCAGTTGGTGAGTGTCGGACCTCAGCTCAGGTCATGATCTCGCGGTCTGTAAGTTCGAGCCCCGCGTTGGTCTCTGTGCTGACAGCTCAGAGCCTGGAGCCTGCTCCAGATTCTGTGTCTCTCTCTTTCTGCCCCTCCCTCCACTCATGCTCTGTCTCTCTCTCTGTCAAAAATAAATAAACATTAAAAAAAAATTTTTTAAAATCACAGAATGGGAGAGAAGCAAAGTTCTAATGGCAAGGAGGCACGAGGGGGTAGCACAGAGAGGATACACTGGTGCAAAGTTAGCCACCAGTAGTGAAGTGAGAGGAGTTGAAGAGTGAACAAAGAAATCCTGGAGGATCTGATATATATGCAAGTAAAGAGAAATAGAACAGGAGGATTGCAACAGGGGAGAGAGCAGGTTAAAAGAAACAATAGAACACAGAAAACAATAAATGAGAAGTTAATTTCAAAAGGCACAAAGCTTAGGGAGCCTGGGTGGCTGTCATTAAGCATCTAACTTTGGCTCAGGTCATGATCTCATGATCTCTTGGTGAGTTTGAGCCCCATCTTGGGTGAGTTCGAGCCCTGCTTCAGGTGAAAAACACAAGCCCCACTTCAGGTGAGCCCCACTTCTTTCTCTCCTTCTCTGCTCCTTGTGGGATTTTTTTCTGCCCCTTGCTCACTGGCACCCTTTCTCTAAATAATAATAATAATAATAATAATAATAATAATAATAATGGCACAAAGATTAGAAATAAAGTTTATACCATAAATCATGAAGACAAAATGAGAGATGAGGGAAAATAAAAATAAATGAAACTATAAAAGGCGGTTGAGGGGCACCTGGGTGGCTCAGTGGTTAAATGTCCGACTTCGGCACAGGTCATGATATCGCGGTTTGTGAGTTCAAGCCCCATGTCGGGCTCTGTGCTGACGGCTCAGAGCCTGGAGCCTGCTTCGATTCTGTGT